TTTCCAGATTATTCCACCTGTTCTGCTGTAAATGTCTTCACATTCCCATTGTACATTGATTTCACATGGCCGGTTACTGCCCAACGGATCCCCCCCCCCCCCCCCCACACACACACACACACACATGCCTTGAGTACACAATTGTGATAATTATTAGGGCTGAAATGATTATACCGAATGATCGAGTACTCGTTTGATAACTCTAATGATCGAGCTATCGTTTAGATTACCGATTACGATCATTTTGCGTTTTTTAAATTTGTGTCCAGAGAGTACTGTAAACCCTCCAGGGATGAATTTATCCTGTATCGCATCGCAGTTTGCGATGCAAAAATCGGCCTACTGCTACTTAATAGTCACCGTGACTCGCAGAAAACTGCGATACATACAGACTATCCATGCCTAGCCTGTGCTATCAAGTAACATGCATACAGTGCAGTGTACCGTATTTCCACAAATAGTAGGCCGGTCTACTATTTTTTCAACCTCGTCCTAACCCGGCCTTATAATCGAGGACGGTCTTGTATTCGAGGACGATCTTTTATTCTTTCAACCCAGTTTGACCCCCCGGTCTTCTATTTCTCGCCACACAGTTTTACCCCCGTTCTTCCATTTTCTTCTACACAGTTTGAGCACGGTCTTCTATTTTTTCCCACAGTTTGAGCACGGTCTTCTATTTTTAACACAAGAACAAAGACTCATTTAGTAGGCCCGGTCTTCTAATCGGAGACGGTCTTTTATTTTTTCAATCGCCCCTGCCCCGGCCTTGTATACGAGGAAGGCGTTGTATACGAAGACGGCCTTTTATTTGCGGAAATACGGTATGTGGTGCAGGTACTCTCAATCTGGGTGAACTTGTGTGCTTCAGTCGTTTTTTAGCAAAATGGGCTTTCAGGCGTCACTCTCCAGAAGGACAATGTGGTAAACATCCAACCTGCAAAGAAAAATGCTAATCCAAATCAAGGACTGCTACACAGTTGTGATTTCGTATAGCAGAAACTGCTATGCAAAATATGACAGTAAATTCATCCCTGCCCTCGTTTTGTGAAGTTTGAATCAGTTTCCGCTGGGAGTATGCAGTTGCCAGGGGTATGGTTCATGTTCTGAGGTTAAATTGACTTCAAAACTGCCATGTTTCGGAGCTACCCTTTCACTAATGCAGATTTGTTGGTATTATGAAGGCATAGTTTGTGGAAACAGAGTAATGTTTGCACAGAATTATGACTCTATTTGCTAACGATTATAATCGATTACTCAATCGTTAAGCTAAAAGAGTAATCGATACGTGAAAATCCACGATCGTTTCAGCCCTAATAATTATATTCCCATCAAAGACTTAGGCCTAGTTCACATTCGACAGGGCGCGACGGGATGCGACGTAAAGCTGTGTTCACAACTGGCGCATGTACGCGTGAAACCACACGTTTGTGCGTATTTTTGCTGGCTTTTGGGGCGCCATGCGTATGGAAACGCGCCGAAATGGAAATTCCAACATGTTGGAATTTTCAGAGCGTATCAGGCGCGTACCAGCGTAGATGCCAGTCACTTTGACTGGCGGGGTCAACAAATTAGTACTCGAAGGTGTCGCACACGCTAAATACGACTCGGATTGCTGTTTTTTTGTGAAATCTTGAGCGCGCGTTTGGGCACGCATGAACCACAAGCGCACCGCGTCCACGCGCCAGTTGGGAACACAGCTTAAGGATCGACGGGAAGCAACAGGACGGTCTGACGGCGTCCAATGTGAACACCAGGAAGCTAGCTATGACCACTGCCAGCGATGATCCTAACACCGCATGGGCTAGTATATCGTCTAGAATACATGATGGTATGCACCGGTTTATTCCTCACAAGGAACTTGTGACCAGGGCTTCTGATCCCAGATGGTGGACGCCGGAATGTAGTAGTGCAATCGCACAAAAGCATTCAGCGTGGAAGAGGTGGATCCGCTCAAAAGCCAGTGAGACACTGAAAGCAGCCTATGTCCAGGCAGTTACCAAATGCTGTGTCAACTCTGCAGCAAGCCCAACTTTCCTGGGAGGAACACCTCAAGCAGAAGCTTCGGACAGGCAACTTGCGGGACAAACAGTGGTGGAGTACCATTAAATGAGCCGCCGCCGGGAAGGAACGACACTCTGACATTCCTACGCTTGTTGATTCCAACCAGCGTGAACATCTCACAGCCTGCTCCAAGGCTGAGTGCTTCGGTACCTACTTCTCGCAGAAGTGAAGTCTTGGTGGTGACGACTTGAGTCCCACTGACATTCCAGACCATATTCCACCTACACCATATCAGTTCATGGACGTGCACTTCAGGGTTCCCATTGTCCGTAAACACTTGTCCAGACTCGATCCAGGGAAGGCTACGGGCCCCGACCAAATTCCAGCTCGTGTCCTTAAGGAATGCTGCCATGAATTAGCACGTCCCCTGTCAACTCTCTTCTCGCTCTGTTTTCGGTCCGGTGTCCAGCCAGCGGCCTGGAAAACAGCGAATGTGGTACCAGTGTACAAGAAGGCCTCTCGCTCCCTGCCAGCAAACTATCGCCCGGTATCCCTCTTGTCCATCTGCTCTAAGGTCATGGAAGGAATCATTAATCACCAGCTAGTAAACTACCTTGAGCGCCACCACCTCCTCTCTGCACGCCAATTTGGCTTCAGACGAGGCCTATAATAGACCCTTTGCACAATAACGGTCACGTGATCCGAGACGGGGCATCCTCTTCGATTTTTGTGCGGAGTATCAGTTGTTGAGCATGGTGGAACACTGTATTTTTCCATTTTGGAGATGGAGGAGAGAGTGTCGAGTGGTTTGCCATCGATGGCTGTGGAACCCGTGGACGAACTGTCAAATGAAGAATGGTCTGTGAAGGAACTGAACAGTTTCCTGGTGAATGAGGGTGCGTATCTGTCTGGAAAAAGAAGGAGTTGTTGGAGAGGTAAGTTTTCCGCATTCAGTGGATATTTCGGATAACTGTAGATTGAAATTTATTTTTCTTTTCTCTACCTTCTCTCCCCTGTCGATGTAGAGAACACTTCTCTATGCAGAACCCTGATGCTCCTAGAACTAAGAAGGGCACCACTTCCTCGAGTGTACCTTCATCATGCCCAACATTTCATGCGTCCCAGTGGATGAGTGATGAACCTCTGTTTCCCAGAGTGAGTGCCACAGAATGCTTGCTTGTCTCCCAACGCAGGGGCAAGTCGCCGACGACAGTGAAGAGGGAGCTGATGGAGTAGTACAAGTGAACAGGCCCGTGGATAGTGTCCATGAGTTTTACTTTGGTGGCTATGTGCATAATGTGAAAGTCTGTCATATCGTGCACACAGCCACACGCCCACAGCTCGAACTCAGATGACTTTCTCCGCACACCTGAACGATGAGGCTCCGTCCGTCTCTCTCCACTTCAACATCAACAGCTCGAGCAACGCCAGCAAGCAGTCGATCTTCCAATAGCGAAGACAGGGATGGGTCATGCCTTTTTCTCAAGCTCCAGAGTCTCTTGGCAGGGCGTTCCATATCTTCGCAAAAGCAAGGTCGGATGAAAGTCGTCATGGATAAAGTGTTCCGAGCACAACACTGGGAACGATATCGCAGCACTGCGGCCCTCTTCTCGCCAGATAGCCAGGATTCCAGAGTGTGGTATGCCAGCATCACCAGGGAACGCATGGAAAGACAAGTGGGTTCCTTAGATTAACGTTAGGGATGACGGTTGCTGCAAACAAGAACCCAACAGTGGTCCTTGGAAAGCGTTTCGGAACTTCTTCCTTCAGAACTAAAAAAACTTCAAATGAAAAAAGGCTGCGGAGTACATACATGAACATCGCGTCGGGACCGTGAAAACACAGCCTCTCACAGGAAACTTGATCACGTCCTGCAGCAAACCACGCATGCTGGTTGCATGCCAAGTGTGCAGCGCGTGCACAGCATGCCCCGTCTCGACCCCTCTCGCTTATTGTGCAAAGGGTCTATTATGTACAGTGCGAGACGCGACATTCAAGAGCACGCACTTCATGGTAGATCTACCCAAGAGCGGTGGTCGATAGAGGCTACTTGTAGTGTTCAACCTCAAAGCGCTGAACGAGTTTGTGGACAACTCCCATTTCAAGATGGAAACGTTGGCAGTAGTACCCGAGCTAGTTCAGCCGAACTGGTGGTTGGCGAAACTCGATCTGAAGGACACCTTACTGAAATTCACTCGGTACACATTCACAGCCGACGCCTCCTCCAGTTCAACAGCATCAGTGCACTACAAAACCAAAACCATTAAATTTTACTCCCACTTGCCGCTCGGTATCAGCTCAGACTTTTTGTTCTTATTTTCCGTTCACTAAAACTGATAATGATCTCGCAAGCCCCCTTCTCTCTAGTTGTTTTTCGTTGCGCAGTGCATCGTCACACACAACCTCCTGTATACGCTCTCAAGTTAGTTTCTACAGCCCTGGCTCTTCCCCCTGCTTCAAATCGGTATGGTCTTTTTTCTAGGGCTCAAACGATTAGTCCGATTAACCGGTTGCAGACCGGTTACGAAGAATTAACGGTTAACCGATAAAGATAACGGTTACGCAGTAACCGTAACTTTTCAGTCAATTTTTCAAGTATCAGGTCGTTGCAAAGTGTGCACTTTCGCGGGCTGTCGCACGCGTACGCAATAGACCGATCCCCTTATTATTGTCTGGGTTCGAGCAAGGGGGCAACTCCGCAGTCGCGTGGGCCCCTGCTGCGAGGTATATTATGCTCCGCAGGCCGCGAAAGAGAGCCCGTTACCTGGACCCCTACTCGCGCGGGTAGAGCGAAACTGAGCACCCTGGGATGCGAGCAGCTTTTTAGTACTCCCGGGTCCAAAATCTCACCACCAGGCCGGGATGATCAAAACGTCTGCCGGGTCTGCAGCCTACAAACGTGGATCTGCCGACACTGTGCTGTCGACGACATGTCCGGCAAGGCACCTCCTTGCGTGAAAGCAAGGAACGCTTTTTTTTTAGAAAGGAAGCTTCTTCTCCAAAATTTAAAATTTTTGAAAATTATTCCTTCTGAAAATATCATCGCGTTCTTGACCTCGAAGCTGACTGCTGAATGCGATTAGGAAAGAAGATTCCTGAAGATACACCAGACTGATTCTGGCAAGCCGTCTGTCGTCTAGATATGCAGTTGTTCGTCATGCATGGTCAGCAATCTTCCTCGTTCGTCCTTTCGTTTTCCTGACCACGATGATGACAAGCAGCTCTCATGCTCAGGTTAGTGCTGTACTTGTATGTCTGGGCACACAACACATCTGAGATTCACCCACTGACGTTATCGAACTGAAGAATGCAGCAAGGGTTCCTCGGATTCTCTTGATTTCGGAACAAATTTCCTTCACTTTCACCCTCTCAGTCTCTTCCCCATGCCCTCCATGCATGCACAATGCAGCTTGCATTTCAATTGCTGTTTTTTATACTTTGGCAGTGCCTCTGCTACACTTTCATATAGAGTGAGGTCCTGTAAATAGGATCGAACATTGTTGGTGGTGGTGTGTGTGGGGGGGGGGGGGGGGGGGGGGGGGTACGTTTGCAGCCAGGATGTAGGAATGACACTTCTGCACAGCAGGTGGCAATAGTCAAAACTGGTCACTCTACAAATCCCATACCTGCCAACCTTTGCAAACCTGAGATCCAATGACATACCTAGGCATGAAAATGTATACAAAAGAAGCTCGCGGTGAGGCATGGAACTAGTGCACTTTTGGGTGCCTATTACCGCCCTCGATATCGGGACGGTCCCGGCCAAATCGGGATGGTTGTCAGGTATGAAATCCCAACCGAGAAAACCATTTAATTAAAAGATAAACTCGGCCAGGACATAGCGACTTTCTGTTTGCCGGGGGGGGGGGGGAGGGTCATCGTCCGCAATATTGGTAGAGTTACGATTACATTGTATATGTAGATACATGTGCATCAGGGATTCATAGCACCTGGGGAGACGACATGAGACCTAAGTACCCAAAACGTTGTGAGTTGTGACCCCGGATGGGGTAGTTCTACGTGATCTGTGTTTCTATAGACCTTATTCGATAACGTGATTTTTGGACTCGCCTCCAGGGATTTTTTGTTGTAAGTTGGGGCACGCGTACGTGAAACGAGTGGCAAGAAAGGCCCAGTTCGTACAAGGGAGTAGTAAAATACCGGTATTTTTCTACTCCTATGTTCCCACGCCGAGTCCACTGTGCACTGAGTGCAGGTCTCTTGCCGCTCCCTGGTTCCCGGGACCCTGGTTCACGTGATTGTGACGTTTATTGAATAAGGTCTACATGTATATGCGGGCATGCATACATCAACCCTTCCACAAGGACGGCTCAAACAGGCAGCCAAGGAGTGAAAATTTCGCTCCTGGGGCTAGGAGTGAAACGAAGGCCTCAATTTGCCAGATGAACCTTCTCCATCGAAACGAACGAAGGTGTCGAATAATTCTTTTACCAGTTCACAGTTGCCGTTCACGCGCACTCCCCGGGGTGGGGGGGGGGGGGGGGCTACTATGCACTTGTACTTGTAGTGATACTTACCGTAAGCCAAGTGGAACACGACTAGTTGACTGCACAGACTACAGTACAGTATACATGCACATGTATACAGTGAAGATCAGTGCGTGCATGCCTGCCATAATCGTATGTTGACCTTCGTTCGAATTGAAAAGAGAGGGTCGTTTCGAAAAAGAAAAAAAGCTCGATGGAAGTATGATGCTGCTGACAATTCAAGACTCACTGAAGTCGCCTTTCTGGAATGGATCATGCACTCTAGGTTCATCCAATTGGATATGGACTCAAATCATTGTTACACCATTATTGTTTGGTTAGTTATTGTACATCCCATAGCATGTACAATCAACCTTGTGAATAATCTACCTCGGGTTTACAAAACAACTCGCAAATAACGACACAATCTTCAGATCTAGTGAACATTTGATTGCATACTTCCAACCTCACGAGTAACAACAATGCGAATAGCGACACTTTTCTCATTCACAATCGAGGGTCAGTATTCCCCAGGTTGACTGCAATTGCCAATCAAACAGGAGGGGCGAAAGTCGACCACGGCTGAAAAGGCATAAAGAAAAATTAATGTATATCATGAGCTAGATGGCTGAAGGAGGAAGTAGGTTTTCTGAGAAAGCAAGAAACAGAGGTGAATGAAGCACCAGGTCTGTCCATGCAGTGGATAGAATTATTGCATTGAAAGACAGGCTCTTTACATCAGCTTGCTACTATTATACCTACATTTGCTTTCTGCCTTTTTCATGCAGGATTCTGAAAGCTGGAGCAGCTCTGCTTACCTCGACCACTGAACTTACAACTAACTTCCAACCAAGTACAAGGCAATATTATGATGAATCAAGCACGCTTGCCATCATGTCATCATTGCAAAGTACATCGACAACATAGATTTGGTGCCGACTATGTATGATGTAGAGTGTGCTCTATGTATCTATACTACTGATTGGCCTACATTGTACTTATGTGGGCTGAGAGTAATCGATTGTGCTATATGGCAGTTTACTTGTATGTCATAGATGTTAACATTGCACACAGCTTCTGAAATGCTTTCTGTTGCACTGGCCTACTGCGGCCCACTGCAAATAGATTGTAGTGGCATGGGCCATGCCATAATTATAGCAAGAGTACATAACCCCCCAGAGTGTGCAACGCCTGATCCAGCTCTGCATAGGGTCTTGGTCGAGCGGAATCGGATCTTTGCGTCATAATACCGTACACATCTGAGGGGAACCCAGGGAGTCGCGGGTACTCTTGGATCAAAAACAATGGTGCCCTGCCTCGAGACCGGCCTTGCGCTGGTGTGAAGTGTACGCATGACATCAGAAGATCCGATTCCGCTCGACCAAGACCCTACACAGAACTGGATCGGCGTTGCACACTCTGGGGGGTTATGTACTCTTGATTATAGTAGTATACCGGTACTACACCAACAATTTCACTGGTGCACTGTACTTACTGGTACGAGTAGATCTACATCATGCACAGCCTTGTCACTGCTTTTCTCATTTTTTATTAATTTACTGTACTGTACACATTTTGGCACAGCTCTTCCACAAAGAGTTACTAGTATTTTCTTCTGCATACCTACTGTATACAGTGACCTGACTGGTAACATCTATGGCTGTGAAATCACAAATTTCTGGGTTGACAGCCTCGAACCTATACGATTTGTTTCTAAGAACGTGCTATAAGAAATTTTCTATTGAAGTATTCTACTGTAGCTCGCAGGACATGGAGTGCAATTACGTAAAGTTTGGAACACCACTCTTCTGTGATTTGGATGTCAAATTATGAAATTCAGTGTGTGAGGTAAACCCATGCATGGCATACACTGCTATAGTATGACTCGGGGTAAAGTGTTCCAACGCATACTCATTATAGTGAATAGTTGTGTGACCAACGTTGTTGCTGCTGGATAAATAGTACATATTCTGAGATAACTGAAGCTACACAGCCATCTAATGTTCAGACATGCATCGAAGGGGCCGTAACGAGATCTGCAAGGCATGATTCTATACCTGTATTTGATGCTCTCTAGCCTAGGACATTCACCTGCCTCATTTTCTCTGTGCTGCATTGATGAGTCCATTAGTAACTAAAGGACGAAACAGCATGCTGTCTGCAGATTGGTAATTGTGTAAAGACAGACGTGTATGTAGTGGTAAAGCTCAGATACATGTGCAACATAACAATCCCGGTGTTTGACAACAGCACAAACCTACACCGCAATTCTTAATTTTGGGCTGTGGTGTTCTTAGTATTCCAGGTTGGATGTTCTGTAGGCTTCCACGTTCTTGGGCGCACGACTTTACTGTGCCGAAGAATATTTTCAGCCAATGAACCCAGAGCTTGGTGGCAGATGAGTGCCATGGAACAGCCTTTTGCATGTGGCTTTCACTACATGCACATGTATAACGTTCAATTGATGCGGAAAAATCAGACGAGGACTTTTGCAGTTATGAGCAAGGTCCCCACGAATGGTCATGTCACTTCACAGAATACATGAACTGATAGAGTAGACCTCGGTCCCCTCAGAGAACGCTTGGGGAAGTCGGGTTCAACCATAGATTTATACTTAACAGAGAACGCTTGGGGAAGTAGGTTTCAACCATAGATTTATACTTAATATTCTTTACAACAAGGATCGATGTGTTCCTTCGGATGCCCTTTATCGACTTTCACACACTTCTCCTCTCTCCTTTCGCCATAAGCACCATCTCTGTACACTGGTTCATAAAATATTTCTTCATAAAACCCCTTCACACATAATGAAGTACAATTGGTTTTCGACAAGCTCAACCCGTAACGCGCTTATCCTGCCTCTTGTTAAGTCAGCCCGGTATCTAAAGCCCCCCTTGTTTTCCGGTTATTCTCATTGGTTAACTGGGGACATGTCCAAAACCATACTAAGTACTTGAGCTGCTCATGAGCCCCACAATTATCAGGCCCGCCGGTCTGGTTGGTCAGGTTATCACCAGACCAACTTGTTGGCCACCAACAAACGTTTCCTACCGTGGAGGACGTGTGTACCCGCCATGAAACTACCGGACCAATCAAAAACTGCTTCCGGCGGTACTGATTATAGTACAGGTTTAAGTTAAAAAGCGGCTCCATTTTGTCATACATTAAACCAACTCTGTCATTGCTATGCTACTCAAAAAGAGTAGTGATGTTTATTCACAAATGAATCACAATGCTATCAGAGAAATTCGATATTCTCCAATTTTAGGGGCACTGCAATACTATCCAAAATTAATGCTGCATGGTCATTGTTATGAAGCAGTCACCTCAGTACAGCAATTAAACAGGCTGATTATGTGAACGAGATTCACGGCAAATCTTCTTCCATCAGTGCTGTTCAGTCTTGAGTGGTCCACTGAGACAGGAAAACAACCTGTTCGGTCCTTCCATACGAGAAACAGAAATTGAACATGTTCCAGGGTGGAGGTGGCGAGTATCGGCAATGTAATGCACCTTTAGGCCAACATGACCATCATTCCGACATGGATTCTCAAACACCTTCGCTCGTGAGAGTGCCTCAGAGTGGTATTCATCAACAGATGGCAATCCTGTAAAACACATGAAAAGACATAGCAGCAACAGAAAGAAACCTAATGTTATAGAAACGAATTCGAAAAACAAAGTCTACTATTATTCTAATACAGTGAACCAAGGTACAACCACACTCCAGGAGGCAAGCAAAAGAGCATATAATCCGAAGGTTGCGATGCCTGTATGTATTGTATTTATGTATTTACGGATTCTCCACAGGCTAAATCGAGGGAGTCTTTGTCATGCCACACTGGATACAACATGCTACCAGAATCACTTTCCCCAGAATTGATGATCTTTTCTTAGGGTGTTATATAAGACACATCTGTAGCCACTTCATCTTGCTCACGAAATCATACACCACCACACAAACGGGTCCTTCGGCTATTATACTTTGGGTGGTACATGGTGATGTATGATATTGATAATCTATTGATACCATATTCAAGTCTGACTCTCACCGTGAGATCCTGGCAACAATATTACCTGGTACACGACATATTCAGACACTGACATAAGCATCTTTTTGGAACAACAGGTGTGCCTATCTGCTAGTGTAATGTGACACACATGCAGAACACATGCAGAATCAGTCATAGCTAATTTTACCCCCTCACTGTTGTATGCGCAGACTCCACTTCGCGGTGTCAAGTACTCTTCTTTCGGTGGGCTACTCCACTAAGGCGCTTGTCTAAAAGGACTCACATTCATCCTGCAAACCAACACGACTTGCATAGTTTTCACTGTCGGCCAAAGTGCGTGCATTGCACACATTGAGATTCACTCCCTCCGTACAGGCCCGTACAGAGCTGCCCACCAATTGAGTCTGTTTTGCGTACTCAGACTTCTGATTTTCCGTATCTTGCAGTGTTTTGCGTACTGCCGTGTACATTGCATGCATACTTGCACTGTAATGTTTTTTGACACGCACATGCATGTCGGTGGCTGCATTTGGTAGTGTAAAACATGTGTGACTTGCACTCACGACATTATTATTTTTGTGCTACATGTACATGTTGTTGTGGTACGGCATGCACTCGCTTTGGTACAAGACTATTCATCACTCAGCTTACACTTGCAATACTTCTACACAGCTGATTGATCCTCTCCGATTTTCTATACCATTTGCTCAATTTCTGTAGTGCGCACAAGGAGCGATTTTCCGTACAAATACAGAAAATATGGAGGGCTGGTACTTGGTAGCACTGCTAGTATGGTAGTACCAGGCTAAGCTGGCTGGAAGATCAAAATACTTCTTTGGTTCTTTCAGTCATTTTCACGACATATGTTTTCTTTATCATGATCCCCGGGGTGTGACATTCTTATGAATGCAGAAACTCAGTCTTTCTAACCGAGTCTCACGTGCAATGTGAATTTGTTCTTCTTTTCTTCACAATGCCATGTATCGATTCATCGCTTCTTCCCACCCGAGATCCTATGCAACAGCGATTTAAAGATTGGCTTTATCAAATAGTTAATTCAGAGAGAGAGGATCAGTTGTGGATGCTGTGACAGCATAGAGTGTAGATTGGTGTAAACATCATTGCCCAGCAGAACCGTATTCACAGGGATCTGCGTTTAGCATATGGAAGCTATTTTTTTAGAATTTGTACACGTCCAATAAGCCTGAAGAGAAGAACACCTAACTTAGACTGTCCTAACGTTATCGAACGCACTGCCAAAGTAAAAACAACATTTGAAATGCAAACTCGATTGTGCATGCATGGAGGGCATGGGGAAGAGACTGAGAGGGTGAAAGTGAAGGAAATTTGTTCCGAAATCAAGAGAATCCGAGGAACCCTTGCTGCATTCTTCAGTTCGATAACGTCAGTGGGTGAATCTCAGATGTGTTGTGTGCCCAGACATACAAGTACAGCACTAACCTGAGCATGAGAGCTGCTTGTCATCATCGTGGTCAGGAAAACGAAAGGACGAACGAGGAAGATTGCTGACCATGCATGACGAACAACTGCATATCTAGACGACAGACGGCTTGCCAGAATCAGTCTGGTGTATCTTCAGGAATCTTCTTTCCTAATCGCATTCAGCAGTCAGCTTCGAGGTCAAGAACGCGATGATATTTTCAGAAGGAATAATTTTCAAAAATTTTAAATTTTGGAGAAGAAGCTTCCTTTCTAAAAAAAAAGCGTTCCTTGCTTTCACGCAAGGAGGTGCCTTGCCGGACATGTCGTCGACAGCACAGTGTCGGCAGATCCACGTTTGTAGGCTGCAGACCCGGCAGACGTTTTGATCATCCCGGCCTGGTGGTGAGATTTTGGACCCGGGAGTACTAAAAAGCTGCTCGCATCCCAGGGTGCTCAGTTTCGCTCTACCCGCGCGAGTAGGGGTCCAGGTAACGGGCTCTCTTTCGCGGCCTGCGGAGCATAATATACCTCCTGCTGCACACACGCGACCAACCTCACCTCGGCTGTGCGCGACTTCTCGCATGCGAAATGCAGAGCACGCGAAATCTACATGCAGTGCAAGCCTGTCTACAAAAAATGTCACAAGGACTTTTGATTTGAGCTGTTTTGTTTTTGTTTAGACGTCTTCCTTTTTACGGCTTCAGGATGCCTTCTCAGGATCATTGCCGCGTTCCTCACTGTCAGAACAGGAGGACGATGCAAACAAGTCATTTCATTCCTTTCCTCGTGTGGAGCCACAGCGGCCTGGAGCAAGCGGATCCAGGCTATGCCCCGTGAGGAAGGACGTAGTTTTAGGGTCACTCTGAATAGTTGCAGCGATCATTTCGATCCCGAAATCGAAATCGTTTTGCCCAGCTCTACAAGGGCAGGATGAGTCCAGGAACCCGAACAGCTGTCCTACGGTACCAGGTTTGCTTTTCGCAAGAGAGTGGAGTCTGGACGCCCTGCTCCCCATGCTCGCAAAACAGTATTTGCTGAGCCTAGTCCAGTTCGGTCATGGAAGTGCAGCGTCTGCATCACGAGCTCTCCATGCTCCCAAACCAGTATTTTGCTGAGAGGCAACGGTACTTTGATTTGGAAAGGAACCTGGCTTAGTGCAGTTTGGTCCTGTAATGGAAGTGCAGCATCTGCATCAGGAGCTGGCAGCAAGTAGAGGTTGTGTACAGAGTCTCGTGGAGCAGTTGGACGATGTGAGGACTGGGGTGAAGAAAGCCGAAAAACAGCTTACGTACAGTAACATAAAGAAAGACTCTGAGCCTCTCCAGTTTCTGACTGGTTTGCCTTCAG